TAATTCACCTATCAATACAGCATGATTTCCAGAGTTCTATATATGCTCCAATTTGTATTTGTAAATCAACATGGCAATGTGTGCCAAGTTAAAGCTCTTTGATCGTATCTCTATCTCTGGATGATCAATTATTCACACACATGATTTCCTTCTTCATGATCTTGAAGAGTGATGTGATGACTGGAAACACTTTCGATTATTTAGCAATCAGGTTGATGATTTCGAATTGGAATATTTTCTTGGTGATATGTCTGTCTATGAGTTTGGTAAGATATCATTCGACTCTCGAATTATTATTATCCATTCTTCACGAAAAATTTCCTGACATTAAAACTGTTGAAAAGGAATATTCTCAGATATAATTATGAACATAAAAAAACTGGATGTATATATAAAGAAATATTTTGAGAATTCGCATTTTCTATGTGATGAAAATATCAATTCTTTCTCGGTTTATTCAACAGAGAACAGCTACTTTCCTGGCTATATGCCACGACGAACATTGAATTACATCTATTGAACATACACGATAAGAATTTGAAAACAAAATCCCTTGAAGTAGAGAATTTGCGTTCTCCTTCATATAAAGATATGTACATAATATAATTCTGAATATTCAACAGAAAACAACTACTTTCCTAGCTATTTGCCACGTCGAACATTGAATTATATCTGTTGAACATTCAAAAAGAGAGCATGAAAAATGTTCAGTATTGAAATGTATATGAAAAGTATACTTCTACAAACGGTTCGTTTCTAGAAAAGAATTGAAGAGCAAAAGAAGCATTTTAATTGAACGATCCACCCTATTTGGTAACTGGAAGATGTCAAAGGTGTACTATGAAAAAGTTTGTGGGGGTAAAGAAGCCTCCACCCATAAAAATGTATCACCCTGTAGATTTCGAAGATCATAACAATGCTTGAAATGATGATCTTCTAGAGATTATCGACCTCACCCAATTTGGAATTGATATTTCTAGAAGTAAGCGAGATATTTCAAGTGATAAAAAAAATAAACTTTTGACCCCTTGTTTACATAAACTTTTTTTATTAAAATGATGAGATCTATCACCCATCTCAGTTTGCAACTCAAAACCTGAATCACCCGTGAAAAAAAAAATAACACCCTGGGGTTATGATTGTTTTAGTGAAAATTTATTAACACTGATATTTTTGCACCATCATAGGGTGTGATTTGTTCTTATCTGATGCACTCAATAACTACACTAGAGTAGCTAATAGCTAATTTGATCCGTTTGTGTTATTCAACACCAAAGTGTTTTTTTATGCTGAATCGTATCATTCGAATCTCAAAGAAACTGTATCTGTTGTGTTTTTGATTTACTGATACTATTGTGATAAACGAACATTTTCGGATATTTTACTGGTGTGAAAACACACTTATTGACTGATAATTGGTGCTTGCACGAATTCAATTTGTCAGGGCGCAACAAATATTCCATGTGGAAACAAGTTTACAGAAAATTTCTTGAAAAATCCCATAATTGAAATGACGAATCACTATCGGCCCTAACAGTAAGTGCCTCCACAGTATTTTTTTCGATTAATCACTTCGAAAAAAAAAAAAATCAATCAGAGTTGATTCTGAAATCTACTCGATTGAAATTACACCCAGAAACAGGGGCGGATTTAAGCATAGGCGACATAAACGCGCGCCTAGGGGCCCGCACCACTAAAAAATACAAAATAATGTCACTGGAATTGTTTTATTATCGTAGACAGTACGTTCTACGTGCATATACTTGATACTATATATCATGATTGTGAACGTACAAAGGAACAGGATTATAGTGAATTTGTGATATGTGAATATAAGCTGATCAAGAACAGGCTCCGGACCTCTATTTCGGAAGACAGGCTAAACGTTTTGGCCTTGCATAGAATACCATGAACGCCTTCATTATGGGGAAGCTTAGACGGAAACCAATCAGTGAGAATGACTGAAATGAACGTGATTCGCAGTACATTTAATATTTAAAAAAATATTCATTCAAGAAATACTTATGATCTTAAAAAGAAAGATGAAGCAGTTAATATTGACTTTTCTGGTTGACTTAAGAATGTACATTCAAATGCAAAGAACATGTCTCAATCAATCAATCAATCAAAACTGAGCTTTATTGTCCAAGAAACATCCTTCTTATTGACAAAGCGTAAAACTAGCAAGTGGATAGATCCACTATGTCCAATTATTTGTACAAAGATATAACAGATATGAACATAAAATATAGTTAATAAATAACACAAATACAAGGGTATAAAACAACTACAAAAAAGCCCTAAAAGCAAAAAATTTATATCACATACAACGTCAACTAGGTACCTAACATAATAGTTGAAAAATCAAGAAATAAATTATAGAAATAAATTATACATGACTTCAAAACTTTTCGTTGTAATATTCCTGCAGGTCATAGTACGCTTTTTGAATAAGGAATTTTTTAACCTCCTTTCTGAATTTTTTTATGCAGCCAGTTCTTTCGAATTGTTCTGGCAAGTGATTGTAGATTTTTTTGCTCTCATATATAATCGAATTTTTTGTTCGAGTCATCTTCGGTATTGGCAGAGACAGGTGACTGTTATTTCTTGTGGATATAATATGATTCACCGGGTTTTTGTTCGATGAATGATCTCTGGTGTGGATCAAACAGACTGTTTCCAAAATAAAGAGGCAGGTGAGAGTGAGAATTTGTTGACTGATATAAAGTGGTCTACAATGGTCCCTTGCTTCAGCCCGACACAAATAGCGAATCGGTCTCTCCTGTGAATAAAGACAGAATTCAACAAATTTTGGCTACAAAAACCCCAGAAGGCTATGCCGTACCTGATATGACACTCTATGAGAAAAAAATACGTGTTTCTGGCAATAGCAGGACCAAGCTCATTTGATACAACTCTCAGTTGGATGGCGTTCATATTTCAGAAGTGACCAGGAGTACCTACTATACCGCCAATGTGCGACATTTCATTAGCATCTGACTACATCAAGTTGTAAGTTATGTTTACTATTGAGGCTTATTTATACCGAAAATAACCTGTTTCATAAATGAACGAGGTAAAAGTTCCCTCTTTGCACCTAATTTTCCAAAATTTTCCGGGCGAGGTCCGCCGGCCTCATTCTTTTATTGGGGAGGGGGGGGATTATTCTATACCGATGCTTTACGAACTCAGGGCCCGAACCACAGGTGGAGCCTATAGGGGCCTGTATTTTCCGAATCCGGCGCCGTCCAGAGATTTCTTACTGTATAATCTGTGAATGATCTCAAATATGTTTGAGAGTAAATAGATGAAGACCAGTTGACAACCCAATTCGTTGGTTACTCCCATGGACGTATAAACATGATGGTTACTCCCGAGTCCTGGGTTACTCCTCATTCATTTTGTTCGCTCGGTCCATCCCAAAAAGCAATCGATTCGTACCCTAGTTTTTTTTTACCGCTGCCATACGGTCGTAACGCCGTAACTTCCAACTAATTTGATTTCCCTTAACACCTATTTCCAATCAATTGCGAACACTGTGGAAGAGGTGTTTGCAGTAGTAATACAATTAATATTGATTCTATTTGTCGACTCTCAAGCCACAAGGTAAAGTTTGATTTATATGGATTATACAATTCACCTCGCAATTTACCAATGATATATCACGAAAATTCATTCAGAATGTCAGTTGAAAAAAACCGAAACACAGCTAATTTTTCAGATTGTAAATATTTACAGTTGTAATACATACACCAATGTGAATGAAATTACTGTCGAGCTTAATGAAATAAAGAAGGGCGTGGAAACAAAATAATTGTATATGTAAATAAGTCATGGAAACCATCCATCCTTCTCAAAGTCTCAAAGTGGTCCAAATTTTTTTTAAAGAAAAAACAGTACATCACAAAGTCGGTCGAACACAAAAAATGATATAAACAAATCAATTGTTTGTGACTAGTTTCGGCTCAACGGCCATCTCCAGGCACATAAAATACCTAAGAAGACATGTGGAGATAATTATGTTTAACTAAAAATGAATAAAGAACAGATCAATGATGCAATTTAACAACTGTAGGATTATGAATTGAAATTTGAAATTATGAATCGAAATTCACTCAACAAGAGTTGAATCAACACCAGTGATTGCATTATTGATTTGATCTTTTGGCCACTTACTCGATTTGAAGAATAATATAGTTAATTACCTGCCTGATTCTCCGTGTTTGACCTAGTTTTTAGTAAAACATGTCTTCTTAGGTATTTTATGTGTCCGAAGATGGCTGTTGAGCCGAAACTAGTCACAAACTATTGATTCGTTAATATATTTTTTGTGGTCGACCGACTTTGTGTTGTACTGTTTTTTCTCTGAGTGAATATGAATATTGAAATTCGTGAATCATGATTCTAACGACCATCTGGAGGTTCTGGAAAAATTCATGCGACTGAATATTATTGACTATTCCCCAACATTCCCAGAATTCTTCAAAATATGTATTCATATGGGCAGTGAATTTTGTTTTCAAACACGTCTGTCTGCATTACAAATGGAAAACTATGCCTGTTTTTTTCCACACACTTAAAAATTCAACATGGGAAGTATTGAAACGCGACCGATATTACCAAACAGCTGGTTGGCCAGACTGATGGTCAGACTTCATACTGAACGTATGTGCCCGGTCAAACCACAAACTTGCCACAGCTTTAGGCATGTGAAATATTATTCCTTTTTGGTTGAGTATCAATAAGTCTAACTGATGTCACGAAATGATTTGACATTTAATATATCTAAGAAAAAATATGAAGGAAAATGTAGCGACATACGACCTGGCCACTGCTCGACGAAATTCAGAAAGGAAAACTACATGTGATTTCATTGATTAATCTGGAATAGTACACCGAGTTTCAATTATTTTCCTGCGAGGATTCCGAAATCGGTTCCGAAGAATCATTTGCCGGTCTTATTCTGACTAACCTTGTATATACATTGACAAAACACTTACTTTGAAATCTATGTAGCCATTTTTGTCCATATCGAAAGTTCTAAATACGTGGTCACAGAACTCCTCTGCGTTTCCCGATGGAAAGAACATCTTGTACATGTCTACGAATTTGGCAGGTGTCAGTCGGCCATTAGGACAGTCTTGCTGTAACAAAAAAATAATATGTAGAGGGTGACTCATTATTGTAGGTTTTTCGATTTGTATTTTCATCAAATCAGACGACAGATTGTTATGCCCAGTCATCTCTGCAGTTCAAATTAGTATATCGACAACACTACCAAACCTCGTTCGTCTATATAGAGAACGGTGAAGCTTTGGAATTCTTTGCCAATGTTGAAAGTATTCGCAAGAACTTCATCCAAAAGTTCAAAAAATATTCCAACTACTAACTTCTCTCCCATTCCTCCCTAGGTGCGCACGATGTTCCACTATTATTATAGGAATTTCCATTCGTGCGCTCCAAGAGGTGAAAAAAAAAAGACAAGAGTAGAATACTGCCCAGGAAAAAGCCAACATTTTTGCGCATTTATTTGCTGGAAATTCCACTCTGGATTCATAGGGAAAACAACCTCTGAATATAACGTCAATCGACAGTCATATGCCCGAGATCACCCTTCGCCAATATGGCGAAGATTTTATTCGGTCTCAACACCCACAAAGTTTGTGGCTCCGACGGAATCCTACCGATTGTTCTCAAGAAATGTGCTTTCGACCTAACACCTGTTTTCTGCAAGTTGTTCAACTACTTTTACAAATTGGGGATATTCCTGTCCAACTGGAAAATTGCAAGAGTACAACCAGTCCCTAAAAAAGGCAAAAAGACCCTACGTAGCAACTACAGACCGATCGCACTACTATCCAATATTTCAAAGATCAAGGAGGAAGCTATCAACATCGTGCTCATGAAATACCTGGAACATAGAACAGAGATCAACTGGTGACCTGCTCGCTTACGTCCCACATATATGGCAGCAATCTATTGAGAAATATGGTGAAACCTTAGCCGTGGCACTTGTTATCTCCAAGGCATTCGATCGAGTCTGGCACCACAGACTCCTCGCCAAGCTTCCATCTTATGGCTTGCCTCCCCAGCTATGTTCTCTGCTTGCTAGTTTTCTCTCAAACAGGTCTCTCCATGTAGGGGTCGACGGAGTTTCATCTGACTCTCTTATCATACATGCTGGTGTTCCGCAAGGATCAGTTCTAGCACCAACACTATTTCTACTCCATATCAACGATTTGTTGGAAGCAACTTCATGTTCAGTACACAGCTTCGCGAATGATAGTACCCTCCATACAGGCAAATCAGAAACGAACGAGGCAGAAATTTTGACAACATGAATATGGACTTGGCAACAATTCTCGAATGGGGATCCAATAACTTGGTAGTTTTCGATGCAAACAAAGTACAAGCATGCATTTTCTCTATAGAAAAGCCGATCTCACTGTGTCGAACCATAGCTTGTCAGGAGTAACCATAACTTTCAAGACATCCATTTCGATACTTGGTATTACTATAAGCAATAACCTTTCTTGGGAAAATCACGTGAGATCAATTGCTGAAAGTGCATCCCAAAAACTTTCTGTTTTGGGCCAGAAGCTATTTCTAGAAGTTTTAGAAATCCATTTTTCTACTATAAAACGTTATACAGGTACGCACAAAAAAGTTAAAGACTCAGACACATGTAGGTGGCGCCACCCCCACGAAAGAGACAAACTAACATAAAATTTGATATTGTCATTGAAAAATATCCCTAGATACCAAATTTCATCTCAATATCACAATTATGTTGAAATTTAATAATAAAAAATAAGAGTTCAACTTTGACACTCTGTATCTCAGAAACGGATTACTTTCGGGCATTTCGGGCGGAACTTTTTTTCTTATTTAGACGTCAGCAACATGCTCCTGAATTTTCTACACGAACTTAAGAACCACCCTGTATATCAAAAAGTGGAAGTTCGCCGACGTTTCTCACGAAGTTCTAATGGAGTCAAAGTATTAGTGGGTGTGGCATCACCCACCAGGCGGATGGCTCTTCTCTGGATGGAATATAAGAGCATCAGCGTATGTTTGGTTGCTGAACCCTATATGATTGTGAGGACAGTATTCTGAAATTGGCCTTATATATCTAATCATGAGAAGGTTGAGGTGTAAAGTAGATTTTCGCAAGGAATAAAAATCCCAGTTTTTGTAAAGCAGCTTTCGAGATGGATCGGACATATTTTGTTTCCATGGCATTTCTCTTGTATGTGTCCACAGCCATCTGAATGTTATTGGCAACTTTAATTCAATGCTAAATGAGGACACTTTTCGGTACAATTTCCAATTTCTCAAATTTGGTGAATACACCAACACCTTCGCCATTTTTAAGTCCTTCATAAAAAATTCCAATATTGATTATCTCATGTCTTTGCAATATTTCCCATGTTATCAATATTAAGTAGATACCAGTTGATGAATCAACTGCGTAAGATGAATAAAATGAAAATCTCCATCTGATGGATTCAATTACCAATTTCATCAAAATGGGTTTTCAATAAAATTTAATTCATCAATTTCGGCTTCTCATAAGCCACGAGAACAGTAGGGATTGGATTGTACTCAGTCATATTTTCAAAAACTCATGCCACAGACATTTCTCCCGAAAGAATTTATCGCATTACTGAAAATACGGGATTCAATGAAGTAGATGAAATAAGAAATATATGAGAAAGAAAAGCGACAAATTAGAGAAAAATATCGCCTCGTGGTTAGTGACTGTAATTGAATGAACGGAGCATAAACGAGCTGAGTTAGAGGGTGGTGCTTGGGGGATCCACCAGCCCACCGAATTATGATTCAGTACCAAAAAAAAAATACATCGATTATCAGGAACTAATGAACGGATTTTGAAAGACAGGAAAACGTAAATTAATGTTTTCCCATCAGAAAGTGTAAGTATACCAAATAGGTAAGGTGTTTTTAGCTCAACAAGATATATATAATAATCATCATATATTTGGTTCTAACAATTATTTTTATTGAAATGTTAAATAATTGAGCTGCTCGTAGAATAAAGACGAGGAAGTATATACTATGGGATACATAGTATAGTACCTTCTTGGAAGCACATAGGAAGCAAAAATATCAATTATTGGTTTGATCGAGGGTTCGATTTTATCTGTAACGAAATAAATTACATGCAATCACTCAATTTGTAGAACCTGTTCAGACTCTCTGCAACTGTATTGATTTTGTTCATTTTTATCTCGATTTGCATAATTAATGAACTAAAAAAGCGTCCAATATTGGATGGAATTCATCAGAACGTGCAACTGCCCATCCAGCTAAAAACGTAACTTCCATTTTAGAGGCATATCTGACCCCAAACGAAAAAATGTTTTCGCCTGCGTCGCAAAGTCGCAAGTATTATTCGTAACCAACCAAATTTTTCGGATCATTATTTCTGGTGGTATCCATATCTGTAATCATGTACTCCGTTCGAAAAATTCTAAAATCAGATCCATCAGATGAAAGTACATCTTGGTAAGTAACTACTGAGGTATAGACCTACAGAGACTTATTCAAATTGAGGATGAGTCTTTATGGGTGGATCAAACACCCTTTTCCTTTGAGCTCCAAGCTTTAAAAAAAAGATAATAAATATTGTGACAAAATAATTATGTTGAACTAGGAAATCGTTACGAATAATTCATAGACTCGAATCAAGAATATTAATTTACCCAATGTCAGTATATATCGAGGTATATATAGACGAAATTTTGACTCGAATAAATGATTTTTTTTTTCATTTTCTGAATGAATTTCATTCTCATTTTAAGGTAAGCCTTCATCCATCCGTCTTCTCTCAAAAATCTTGTTGAATAAATTATTGTTTCGAAAGAAGAATTATCATCTCCGTTATATATACAAATCATCTACTATAGAGACAATGCAGAAGAAATTCTTTTTGTGTGATATTCAGTGCATTTCAACGGAATCTGAAAATAATACGCACCAATCGGACGACCATTGTAAGTGTTCATTCTGAAAATGCATCTGAAATTAAAAATAATTTAGAATGATGGCATTTATTCAGGTCATTGAGGTTTGCATTCCTATAATGCACGTGGAATTCCAATTGACATCAGTTGCAAGAATGTGAAAGTGACACTATTTATCATAAATTAGCTGTTTCCATACGAGCGACTTCGAATAGACCATTATATAATGGGTGCATAATTTTACATCGTTGAATTTCAGATTAGACATATTTTGACTGAAAAGTATACCAGTGATTTGACCTACAACATATACAGGGTGTAATTTAATTGATGGCTAAAAATAAAGTATACGCGAGAATCACGAAGTGTGCGGCTTCTGGTGGCTAAACTTACAAATCTTGCGAGTATGAACAACAATGACAACAAATATGGCGACCATTGTTTTGAGTTTCATGATAATGTGTTTCATTTGGAAATTATTTATTTGTTGAAGTGCATATTCCAGAACCTCATTTTTCCTAATGAAAGAACTCGAATTATTGCATGAACTTTTATTATTTACAATGAATAAACCAGTACCTGAATAATATACATTTTATAAAGCACAATTTGAATCATTATATGAATGTTGGTTGCAATGATTCGATTCTGAAAATAACTTCAAGTCCTCAATTGCTGGGGATCCTTGTTCATGTAAATCGATGATATTGTTCATTCTTCGCAGTCTCTCCAACCATATCTTCCTTTGCAACCCCTTCACTAGAATTCAATTCACATTCCTAACAGCCAGTGATATTTCTTGATGAATTCAATTATGTCTGCATACATATACCATATTGTTGTGATAGCTGATTTCTTATGGTTCCATTCCAATCCATGCAAGTGCTGAGTGGACCCTTCCGACCATTCCTTATGACGTTTGAAAATATAGTGGAATTGTAATGTGATATGATGAATATTACCATTGTTCATATCAAAATGACACTTTGTCTGCACAAAAAGTTATTTTTTCCATACTGGAAACCTTGGACGTCAATTATGAAGATTTCACGAAGTCAACTTATTATTTAATATAATGCAAAATGATTTCAAAATCACCAATTTGCAATGGATACATACGGCAATGTTTTTGTTGTTCATACTCAGTTTGAAATTTG